AAAGAAAAAAAAAAAAAAAAGATGACAGGCAGTAGATTGACTGGCTTTCTGGCAAAGCAACAAGAGTTGATTCTTACATTTTTTTCTCATATATATATAATATATATTATATACATATGTAAGTTTATTTGTTCACGCAACCACACATCCATTCAAATTAGTGTCCTGGAAATACCCATTAATAAAAGCCAGACTTCCCAAGTATTAGGTGTGTAACAACTCAGATCCTTGCCTGGCTGCCTGGTGAACACTCAGTAACTGGTGGCCCCACTCCCTGTTTGTTGTGAGACAAACTTTTCTTGGGGAGAGATGCAACAGACATGTTTGCTCACCCTATGTAGGGAGCCCCCAACAGATCAAAATACAGACACCACCAAACTCAAAACTCCAACTTGGTAAAACAGTGGGTTTTATTGGGGTCACTTGCAAGAATATGGGGGAAGGGTCACTTCCAGGAGCAGAAATGGCTGAGACAGCTGCATCACCAAGGCCCACCCCAGCATGGGTGACGGCTTGCAAAGCTGGGACCCTGGAGCACACTGCACAGCCTGCAGGCAGCTCATCAGGTTAGAGACCATCCTTCTCAAGAGACTGTTCTCAACCTCTTCCGGGAAGCTCGGCTGGTTTCTGCTTCTCCCAGGCAGCTGGTCTGGGTCTTTGCGACTTGGCTTGTCTGAGAGGGACTCAGCTTTTGTTGTTTGCTCTGGCAGGGAGGGGCCTAGTGAGTCTGCTCAGCTTCAGGGATTTCCTAGAGCTGTTTTTTTTTTTTTATTTAATTTAATTTTATTTTACAATACCATTCATTTCTACATATCAGCCATGGGTTCCCCTATTCTCCCCCTCCCACCCCCTCCCCTTACCCCCAGCCCACCCTCCATTCCCACCTCCTTCAGGACAAGTCCTCCCCCGAGGACTGCGATCAACCTGGTAGACTCAGTCCAGGCAGGTCCAGTCCCCTCCTCCCAGACTGAGCCAAGTGTCCCTGCATAAGCTCCAGGTTTCAAACAGCCAACTCAAGCAATGAGCACAGGACTTGGTCCCACTGCCTAGTTGCCTCCCAAACTGATCAAGCCAATCAACTGTCTCACCTATTCAGAGAGCCTTCCTGGAGGTATTTTAATTGTTTACCTTTCTGCTTAAGGAGATTCCTGCAGGATAGACTGTTTCAATCTTGGAGGAAACTGTTACATAACACCCTTCTGGAGGCTAAGATAGAAAGAAATGGCTTTCACCAAGGTGAAAGTGTGGATGGAGAAGTGCTCTTTGTCATCTCTGAGCTGCAGGTGTGTGAGCCATGTATCACGTAAGCCAGTGTTGATGGTTGTGTGTTGCCATGTCTACATCCTGAGTGCTATCACTGCACCTTCCCCACGAAGCGTGTTCCTTCTTTCCCAGGACGGGGCTTGGCTTGATTGAGCTCCTGGCAGATTTCTTTGTGCAGGTGGATAGCACGTCCCGGCTAAAGTCAACCAGAGATGTCATTTCCCAGTCTCCGTCTGAGTTCTGGGGTACACTGCAGCTCTCTTTACCTCACCCAGCAGTGGGCTGGACTCTTCCCTAGCCTGTAGCCTCACCTGGGCTGGCTCTCCAGGACAGAACGGGAGTCTGGGGTGTGGATGTCTTTAAGAGTGGGTCGCCTTATTGCTGCTTCCCCGCCTCTGTATCAAGCTCATGCTTTGCTAGCTCTTCATCTTGGTGCACTGCCAGCCAACAGTTCAGAGGATTGACGGGTGGCCAGGCATGGGAGTGAGCGATCCAGGCCCAATGCACCCCCTTGGAAGGTCTGGCTTCTGTTTTATTTAAGGGTATTCTATTTATTTCTGGTATTCTATTTTAGATAGATGGCTCGTGTGTCAGGCAAGAGATTAATGAATGAGAAGTTTTCATTTAAGTACTTAAAATATATAGTTTTAAAATATTTGAAGTTAATAGAAAACACCTAGAAATTGAAGAGTTCCTGGAAAAGTGACCAATTGTAGTTGTCTCAGCCAGGCATGGTAGCTTGATCCTTATAATTCAGTCATTTAGGAGGTGGAATCAAGGTCAAGGTTCAAGGTTGTTGTTTGCTACATAGAGAGTTCAAGGCTAGCCTCAGCTACAGCTACAAGACCCTACTTTTAAAAAAAAAAGCATATATAAATAAAATAATAAAATCAAAAGTGTCTCCCTCAATATTATCCCAGTAGATCTTTGCTATTTTGGCAGAATATGTCTGTGGATATGTGCATATATGTACACACACACACACACACACACACACACACACACACACACAGTGGTTTGTATGTACATATGTATGTCTGTAAACAATTTGGGAGGAAGCAAACATATTTGTGTCACTCCTCTCTGTCCTCAGGAACAGAGCAGGCCTTCTCATCACACGTCCTGGAGCCGATAGAAGAACTTTCTTCAGAGGAAGAAAAAGGTAACAGAGTGCCAGCATTCCTCATTTGTTCAGATCTGGAGTTGAGAGTCCAAGTCCACGCTGCGCATCATGCTGTACCGAAAACAAGAAAGGCATCTAGATTTGAATGCCGTTTCCACTGATAGGATATCAGCATTTGTTATCTTGTTCCCCTAACGTTCCTATATCCTCTACTTTATTGCGTTTTTTTTTTTTTTTTCTGTAAGCAAATTAATAAGAAATTTTCTATGTTGGGAAACTTAAAAACAAAAATCCTTTATTTCAGTACAGATGTGCTGACCAGATGCAACAGCGACACAGAATGTTTTATACCAGATGATGTGGAACTATTTGTGTCACAGTGGTTTCTTACAGTGTGAGCCTGAAATGAATGAGTAAAGTGTCCATTTCCAAATTACTGTGTTTTCCAGTGCTGGGGATCGAACTCAGGGCCTTGCACTTGCTCAGCAAGGGTTCTACCTGGGAGCCATAGCCCCAGTCCCAAAAATCCTCTCAATGTCAAAAAGGAAACCAGGATCTAAGCACCGGGTATGAGGTAGTTAGAGAAGAATAGTACTCCATGGTAGGATGTGGGAGCTGTTACAGTGGAGCTGGTGAATCATTATTGCTAACATATTTCATTTGGCATTTCTAAAAATTGCTTTTAATATTTCTGAAGTTTATGAAAAATTGTGCAATTGTCTTTTCTTTTTTAAAATGTGTGCTTGAGGTAGGATTTCATGTAGTCCAGCTGGGCGTCAAGTCTGGGTCTCCCTGCCCTTCCCTCCCGACTGCAGTGACGGCGACTGTGTGCCATCATGCTCAGGGAGGGGGTTGGTTTGCTTTTTGTGTTTTTCAAGACAAGGTTTCTTGTGTAGCCTTGGCTGTCCTCTCTCTCTAGACCAGGCGGGCCTTGAACTCACAGAGATCTGCCTGCCTCTACCTCCCGAGTGCTGGGAACACTCAGCTTCACAAGGAGTCTTTTCTAACGTTAGACATAGATTCTGAAAACTTGCTTCAATCAATTCCTTATGATTTTTCCTTATCAATAATAATGCTTCACTGTGCATCACTTGTTTTTTCTTATAATTTTTTTAAAATTTATTTTTATTTGTTATGTGGATTGGTGTTTTACCTGCATGTATGTCTGTGTGAGGCTGCCAGATCCCCTGGAACTGGAGTTACAGATAGCTGTGAGCTGCCATGCGGGTGCTGGGAATTGAACTTGGGTCCTCTGGAAGAACAGTCAGTGCTCTTAACCACTGAGCCAACACTCCACCCCCATGCATCACTTCTTAAGTGGAAAACTATTTGGTAATAAATATGAGGGTTCCAGTCTTAACTATTTCTGTCATGAAGAGAAATTAAAAATATATATTCCAATATGTAAACTTCAAAAAATGTTCCTTTTTTGTTTGTAATTATGTGTGTATGTAAGCGGGCGTATGCATGTGAGTGCAGTGCTTGCAGAGGCCAGGAGAGGGCACTGGATTCCCTTCGAGGGAGCATCACAAGCGGTGATAAGCTGCCTGACATGATTGCGGACGGAACTCAGAACCTCTGGGAGAGCCATGAATGCTCGCAACTACTGAACGATCTCTTCAACCATAATGCATAAAATTATAACTCCTGTGTTTGATAGGACTTTATCATTTCTCCTTATTTTTACAAAGCTACAAATTGAAAATTGACTAAACCAGTCCCGTTCATAAAATCTACCTGATATATATTTTCAAGTCCTGGTGTTGCTGTGTTCATCATTATCACTTTTAAAAATATGTTTTTTTGTTTTTTTTGTTTTTTTGTTTTTCGAGACAGGGTTTCTCTGTGTAGCTTTGCACCTTTCCTGGAACTCACTTGGTAGCCCAGGCTGGCCTCGAACTCACAGAGATCCACCTGCCTCTGCCTCCCGAGTGCTGGGATTAAAGGCGTGCGCCACCACTGCCCGGCTAAAAATACATTTTTAATGAGGTTTGTTTTCATGTTTTTTTTTTGTTTTTTTTTTTTTACAAGTTGCCCCTAACTGTTTATCGACTAGTTTCAGTGGTAGCAATGTGACTCTGAGAGCCTTTTTTTTTTTCCTGATCCCCACACTGGCCCACTAGATAGTGCAAAGCCGGTGATGTGGAATGTGTTTTGATTTGATTGTTACCGGTGCTTAGGACAGAGTGTATTTGTTGTTTGCTTAAGTGGTTGGATTTTTGTTTTGTTTTGATTGGTTTGGCTTTTTGTCTCTGTGTGTATGTGTGTGGTTGCAGAATTTTCTAAAGCATTAGCAGTTACTCAGCCTCATGAATGCTGAGAGTATAAGATTTAAGATGACCTCCGACTTTTAGTGACGTAATCATATATACTGTGATATTTACAGCTGAGCAAGCCAGAATAGCAAAGTATTAAAAATACATCTTCATGCAGGATTTTTCCTATTTAATATGCAAACTAGTTTAGCTAATTTTGTTTTTAGCACAACTTAATTAATAGATGAACATTTTGACTCAGGCTTGTAATCCTAGCATTTCATCACTGTGGCTTTGAGGCCAGCCTGAGCTTTCCTCAAAACAAAGAAGAACCCCACAAAAAAATATCCGTTCATTAATTTAACAAGATATGATCTAGCATTGGGATCAGACAGCTATCTGGAAAATGGGTTAAGCAAAAGGCATTTTGTTTAAGATCTTCCACAAATCCAGGTGGCGGCAACTGCTGTAAGTACCATCTGCTGAGGCAGGAGAGTAGTTGGGGTTGGGGCAGTCCCCTACAGCCAGCCTCAAAGAAGGAACACATTTCTTGCTGGCTTACAGCACTTTTCCAGTCCTTTTGAATGAAATGAACCTGCTTGGACATGGGATCCCAGAATGACAGTGTATTTGCCAGACTTTTTTCAGATCTGGCTTTGGACTGTCTCTAAGGTTCTGACCTGCCAGATATTAGGTCTCTGTAGTCAGGTCTTAAGCTACTTTGGACAGACTGACCCTCACTGTGAAACCTTATGCTGTTAGGATCCTGTTCCAAGCCCTCTTGGACTAGACTTTTTTTTTTTTTAAGTGGGCAGTACAGGTAGACTAGGGGAGCTGAGGCTGTCGTTACTGGACTCCACTCCAGCTCACAAAGATGAAGGGAGGAACAAGGGATGGAAAATGGAAAGATAAGACCTGGGGCTTTTTGTTTGATTAGTTTCTTTGTTTGGCTTTTTTGTTTTAAAGTATAAGTTGTTTCACTTACTAAGACTTTGTTAACCTCTTTTCAGTTTTGGTAAAGACTTTGAAGGGGAGAAAAATCACAAAGTTTTATGTGTACTTAGTATATACTAAATTTATCTCCTTAAAACTTAAACTTTAAATAAATTAGACTTTTTCTTTTCATAAGATAAATTCTAACTAGGCTTAGAGATGAACTTTTGGGGAAACACTCCCACTGATAAATATTTAAACATTAAAGAAATATATAATCTATTTCTTAAGTTGACTAATTGTAATTTGGGTAGGCAGTCAGTAGTCTTAGAAGTTACTAAGTTCGGAGGCAGACTTAAATCAGTTTTAGAAGCTAAGATATGCTGATAAAATCTCCAAACTTTAAACTCTCACAGATGTTTACTTTGTCTTAAAGTTGTATGTTGCTGTTTTCCATTCCGAATGAATTTGTATAATTCTCTTTAAATCTGCTTTTTAATAAAACCTTAATTCAGGACGAGAAAATGAACAGAAATTAAATAAGAAGACGTATTTAAGGAAGACTTTGAAAAGCAGCTCCTCCTCTAAGGGGCTGAGGACGAACTTGGAGAAGGAGCTGGGAAGGAAACTGAGGAGCTTTGGGATTAACGCAGTACGTTGACTCATTTTCTGAACATTTCCTTATGTCCCATATCCCGTATCAGGACCCATGAGAGAGGAGAAGAAAGTCTCCGAATTTAGAGACTGATGCTGATTAAACTCGGATTAGCAGAACTCTGGGTAGCATCTGCTAAGACCTTAACAAATACAAACTTAATTTATAAACGGGAATAAAATGTGGACTAAAATGCATTATTACTTATTTCATATAAAGAGTAGGTAACTTGACTAGGTTACGTAGGTAGTAATGAGGGAGCCAGAGTCTGTCTGGGTGGTTATAGTATAGTATAGTTATACATTCAGAATAATACATTCTGATATTCACCTCATACCACTGCTCATTACAGAATCAGCACTTCGTAAATGTTGAATAAATGGGCAGCTGAATCAGGTTTCATTTTGAAGCCAAATTGAATTATCTTAATATCACATCTTATGTATAAATCCTTTGTGCTTTTACAATTCTTTATTAGAATACAGTAAGTATATAAATCCTAACAATTTGATGAATTTATTTGTGTGCTGGTAAATACATGGCTGTATATGTATGAATATATGTATGTATTATATGCAAATGCATGTAAACATAGACACATGTGAACATATATATATAAGCATGAATGTACATTATACCTATGGGCATGCTTAATGTGTGATAGATGGGTACAGTATGTATGTGTATATAGACGTGTATAAATACATGTGTATATAGCTGTATGTCACAGGTGTTTGTGTGTCAACATGTATGGATACAGCTATGTATTTATGTACATACACATTTGCATGCAACTGTATGTTCATACATGTACATGGCAGACACATACATTTGAGTAAGCATATGGATACATTGTGTATCTCCATATTTGTATGTTTATATGTGTGTGTATTTATAGATGTGTGGATGGGTTGGTGTGAGAGAACTGCAATCAGCATCCAGGTGGTAACACAACATTTCTAGTGCCCCAGAAGGTCCCCTTGACCTCGTTCCTGCCTGTCACAGCTGCTCTCCAGCGAGAGGTGACGGGTGTTGTGACTGAATTTCCTTCGTTCTTGGGCCTCGGAGAGGTGGAGTCGTGTGCTGTGTGCTGGTCTGCATCTTGCCCTTTTGACGATGCTCTGGTCCGCGGGGTTCATGTCTGTCTCACACACAGTCGTTTGCTCTTTATTTATCTGCTGTGGCATCGAGTTGTCTGAACACTGTGCAGCTTTCTCTCTCCTGAAGATGGATAAATGTGCAAGGTTCCCGCATGCGCCCTTTAGATACTCAGTTTTGTGCGTGTTCCTTGGTGTGAGCCTAGAACATCAAGATAGGTGTCTGTCTTCTGGATGTGTACCCAGGAATGACGTTGCTGGGTCAAGAGGCAGACATGCTTATCTCATAGCTGCTCCTGAGTGTTTTCTCAAGTGTCCCGATCCCCACGCACCCTGAAGGGCTCAGGTGCTCCATGTCTCTCTGTGTGTAACTCCTTAGACTCTCTGTGTGGGTTTTTAGCCGCACTGGGGTGGTGGGAACAGCCATGCAGTGTCCACGGTTCCCATGCAGATGCTCCTGAGACTAGATTTTCATGTTTGCTGTCTCTATGAGTTTTGGGAATTTTAATTTTAATCAGAGCCTCATCTGTGGTTTTTCTCCTAGTGTTTGGAGACATTTTTGTTTGTTTCCTAGTTTGGGGGTTTTGGGGTCTGTGTGTGTGTGTGTGTGTGTGTGTGTGTGTGTGTGTGTGTGTGTGTTCAGAATTAGAAAAGTTGAACTCTATTTCCCTTTGAAGCACTTGTCCTGATACCACTGGTTCTGTGATTCACCTTTCCCATTCATTTGAAATAATGCTTTTATTATGTGGAAACAGTTTGTGTGTGTGTGTTTGGATCTGCTTTGGACTTTCAGTTACTTTACTATGTTTATTAGTTAGTTAGTTAGCTGGTTAGTTAGTTTTTAGTTTTTTCAAGACAGGGTTACTCTGGGTAGCTCTGGCTGTCCTGGAACTCACTTGGTAGACCAGTAGAACAGAGTTAATGTCGACATATGTCTACAAATGAAAACCATCCAAGGATAATAATAACAGATTGACACAACATCTTATTCCTTCAGGATATACACGGTATTCCATGTGAAGTCTTGAATAGTTCACTTAAAGCCATGCAGTTAGCCAGACATGATCTAGCAAAACAAATGCCTGACATTCAGCAAATTCGAGAATCCCTTGAACATCAGCTCATCTGTAAAATGGAGGAGAAAGTGTCGCTGTCTTCGGGTAAGCCACTGCCACCTCCTGGCATTTCATTGCTACAAATGGGAGCCACATTTAACAGCCGTTTTATAATTTTAAATGTTTGCAGACTTGGGCCCTGGCAGCTTTCTTACTGTCTTACTTGAAATGCTGGGCCTTGGGTTATACTTTTATTTTGAGAAGCCCTGACTCACACTTTGGGGTGGATATATACCTATAATCCCAGCACTCAGGAGGTAAGGGCAGTTGGGCAAGGAATTCAGAATCCTTCTTGGCTATATAGCATATTCAAGGCCACCTGGGCTACAAGAGATTCTGTCTCAAAAAAAAAAAAAAAAAAAACAACAACCCAAGAACAAACGAACAATAATTAGAAGCCCTGAGTCGGGATCCCAGCCTGGGAGGCTTGTTCTTCGGTGACACCCTGGAAAGCATTGTGTCATTTACTTTGACTTCTCACTTTACCACAGAGACAATGGAGACTCATGAATGATGTTTCCCTTCCAGATAGGCACAATATCCCTCCCATGACCACCTTCCCAGCGGAAGAAGTACCCAAAGCCACCCAACTCCCCCCGCAAAGCAGACCATTGGTCAGACAGAGGACTGTGTTTACTGATAAGGTGGCTGTCCCAAAGTGAGTGTTTTCAACTGAAAAAAAAAAAAAGTATTGTTTGTCTTAGCCAACTGCAGTTGCTATAACAGTACATCACAGACTGGGTCACTGAGAGAGCAGGAATTCATTCTGGAGGCTGGAAGTTCAGAAGCAAGGTGTCAAAGGTCAAGTTCTCTTGCCAGAGCTCACACGGCGAGCAAGCCCTGGTCTCTTCCTCTTTTAAAGGAAGTCTCAGCTGCTTTCCAGTTGCTGTGACAAAGCCCTATGACCAAAGCAACTTACAAAAGAGAGCGTTTAACCTGGGGCTCACGGTTCTGGAGGCTAGAGTTCATGACCGTCATGGTGGGAGCATTGGCAGCAGCCAGGCAGCCATGGAGCTGTAATCGAGAGCTTACATCTCAGTCCACAGGCACAAGGCAGAGGGAGCTAACTGAAAAAGGATGGGTCGTTGAAACCTCAAAGCCTGTCTCCAGTGACATACCTCCTCCAAGAAGGCCACATCCCACACCTCCTCGTCTTCCCAGACAGGCCCAGTGGGGCCATGCACTCAAACCTTTGAGCTTATAGGAGCCATTTTCAACCAGACCACCACAGGCAGTAATCCCGTCATGGGGACCCGACCCTTTGACTCCATCTAGTCCAGAACTCTCTAAAGTCCTGCCTGCCTCCAGATGTCACCACACGACAGGTCTGGTGGCTTACACACACTGAGTCGGGAGCAGAGGATCATATTCCCAACCTCCATGTGGTCTCTGGGGATAACAGAGACTTGTGTTTTCCATGGACATTGTGTCAACTGTTATTTACTTAGGTGCTTTAGAAGTATTTTTTGTCTTCCTCTAATTTTTTTTTTTTTTTTAGATTTAAGAAAAATACCAAAGAAAATCATTTTCTCAGAAAGTTTTCATCTACCAGGTGAGTACTGGAGAGGTTCTGGGGGTGCGTGGAAGGAATATAAAGTTTCTGGGCATTCCTCTCGTGGTAAAGTGGAGGCTCACTGTGATTAAGAAAACCACAGTGGTTATTCATCGGGATTACTTTTCGAGTCCTTTGCGGCTTATTATTTGTGACACGTCTTCTTCAGTTACCCCCTCACTCAGTAGCATTTCACCACATGGCCTCCGTTAACAAAAAGGACCACCTCTGAGTTCTTATACGGCCTTCCCAGTGAGATTTTTTTTCTTGGTTTTTCAAGACAGGGTTTCTCTGTGTAGCTTTGAAGCTTATCCTGGAACTCACTCTGTAGCCCAGGCTGGCCTCAAACTCACAGAGATCCGCCTGCCTCTGCCTCCCAAGTGCTGGGATTAAAGGCGTGCGCCACCACTGCCTGGCCTTCAGTGTGATATTTTTAACAAGCACATTTCAATAGGACGGATGTTGTTTGGGTGGCTGGGTCCATGATCACACAGGTGTCAGGTGATATTTGGGGGCTGTGACCCCTCATCAGGGCTGTTGAAGACTCTAGACTGCCTTCTGCTGGGGTCCCTCAGGAGATAAGAATCTTGGCTCACATTCATCACGTGCTTCTTCTGAGCCTAATTTAAAAAAAAAAATTTCTGTAAATGTGATGCTTTCTTGTTTACAGAATACTTTTTTTGATGATGGTCTGTTTTTCAGATGAGGTCTTACTGTGTAGCTCTGGCTGGCCTGGAAGACTCTCTGGCTCTACTGGCCTTGACGTCACAGAGATGCTCCTGCCCCTGCCTCCCAAGTTCTGGGATTAAAGGCGTGGGGGTACCAAAGGCTTTGGGTCATTTTACAAATTAAATGAGAACATACAAAAGAGTCTTGGCACTTGTGGGCACTCAGTAAATTACTGGTCTGTTTCTGTTATTAGTTCTGAATGACACTCCTTTTCTCCCGGTTGAATGTCATTGTCATTGCCTGAGTCTGGAGATACCAACACCATTGTGTCTCTTCTCTGGGACATCACTAACTAGAGACAAACAATGCTTCCTCTTTTCGTGAGCAAACCTCAGGAGAAGAGCTGTTTCATGTATGACTGAACAAGTGTGCACAGGTCCATGTGATATGTGGAATTCAGGCTTTCTAAAAGTGTTTTTCGGGGCTGGAGAGATGGCTCAGAGGTTAAGAGCACCGACTGCTCTTCCAGAGGTCCTGAGTTCAATTCCCAGCAACCACATGGTGGCTCACAACCATCTGTAATGAGATCTGGAGCCCTCTTCTGTATACATAATAAATAAATAAATCTTAAAAAAAAAAAAAAAGTGTTTTTCAAATGGACAGTGCTGTCCCAAACTTGGGGTGGCAATCCATGAATCAGAAGTAACAGAATTTTAAAGGATGGAGCAGTTTGAGTGTAGATATGTTTTTCATTCGCTGAGAAGTGTCTTAAGAGCTAAGAACACTGAGAGGGTACACGTCCGGGTTTAGGGGAACTTCAGTCCGTTTCTGTAACTGTGCTGTGATTGGCAGATCTGAGTCTTTATGACCCCTCAGTTTTGCACATGGCTCTGGCTTCACTGTGTCCTTGTCTGTGGGTACAGGGGAGTGACCTTCGTTATACTTCTGGGAATTACCTGTATCACCTTATAAGGCAAACACATGAAATCAATAGGGAGGATTCTCAAGAAGCTAAAAATAGAACTTCCATAGAACCCAGCTGTCCCACTTCTGGGCACGCTCCCAAAGGACTCTAAGTCTCACCACAGAGAGAGATCCACATATATGTGTTTCTTTCTTCACTATTCAACATAGCTAAGAAATGTCCATCAAGAGATGACCGGAGAAGGCAATGTGGTACATGTACAAATTGCCGTTTTATTCAGGAAAATGTGTAGAAGTAGACATTACTTTTAAGCAAAATATTCCATACTCAGAAAGACAAATATTAAATGTTTTCTCTCATATGTAGACCCTGGGTTTTAATTTTTATATATGTATGTGGGCGGTGATACATTAGTCGTAAAACTAGAGGGGTCCGTGAATGGGGGAAGAGGATTAAGGAATGTTGGGAATGGAAAACAGAGAAATAAAAAGAGGGGAACGGGATGTATGTGACAAGAAAGCAGAAGTGCAGTGTGGGGAGGAGTGGGGAGGGAGAGGAGTGGGAGGGAGGGAAGGGGGAGGGAAAGGAGGAGAGGGAGAGGAGGGGGAGGGAGGGGAGGGGGTAGGAGAGGGGAGAGGAGGGGAGGGAGAGGAGGAGGAGTGGGGAGGGAGAGGAGGGGGAAGGAAAGGGAGGGAGAGGAAGGGAGAAAGCAACAAAAACAAAGTATGTATAAAAATTCAGAATAAAGCCAATTGTGTGCTAATTAAAAGAACTGATTTTTAAAAAGAAAAAAAAAAAGGCACACCTGGTTAGTAAATTCTGAAATGAGAAACAACACCCCTTTACCCCTGTTTTTTCTGACGGCAACCATACCCCCCCCCCCTGCCCGTTCTCGTTCTGACAGTCCCCCGTGCCCCCATTTTGGTCCTGATGTCTCCCTACAGCCCTGTTTTGGTTCTGACTTACACAGGACGCCTCCCTTCAGCTCAGAGGAGGAGCTTGATGAAGAGGACTTCATCCAGGCATACGTATCCTCAGACTTGCTGACCCTACAGCCATCTAAAAATACCATGGGTAACTTCGGAAAGAGCTCTGTCAAAAGTGACCCGGACTGGACAGGGGGAAGCGAGATGGAGGACTCAGATGTCTCCCCAAGGCCCACAGGTGAGCTTCGACCTCTGAAAACCCCACTCAGGTTGATAGGACAGTGGTCCCCACCCAGGGGCGCCAGGCACTAGACGTCTGAGCTGGTATTGTGTGTGAGGATTATGGGGCTTATCCGAGGGCTTCCAGAGACCCGCCCGTCTTCAAACAGAAGGGGAAGAGCCGGTTGAGGGTCCTGAGTGTGTGGCCTTCCTGCAGCGGCTTTAATAAAATACTGTAAGCTGAATGTCTGGAACAACAGAGATTGTTTGTGTCAATCTTCTGTAAGCTGGATGAACAAATTCAAGGTGATGGCCAGGTCCTTTCCTTAAGAAAGCTACAAGGGAAGATGTGTTCTGTGTCTCTGGGCTGGTTCTCCTCTCCCTGTCTATCTTCATATCATCTTACCCCTGTGAGTTCATTTCAGTCCTGGTTTCCAGTTTTTATAAGGACTGTTCACATAGATCATGGACCACTTTTTAAATTGTGTGTGTGTGTGTGTGTGTGTGTGTGTGTGTGTGTGTGTGTGTGTGTGTACATGTATAAAGGACAGAGGTCGATGTTGGGTATCTTTTTTTATTTTTTTCTTTTCTTTTTTTTTTTTAAGACAAGGTTTCTTACTCACCCCAAGCTCACTGATTTGGCAAGATTAGCTGGCTGTCGAGCTCCAGGAATGTTCTCGTCTCCACCTCCTCAGCACTGTGATTATAAGCACATGCCAGCCTACCTGGGTTTTTATGTAGCTGCCGGGGATTGAACTCAGGTCCTCATGCTGTGTGCAAGCTTCTGACTCCATAGCCCCATGGGCCCACTCTTAAGAACTTCTCTTTAACTTAATTATCTCTTTACTCTACTTCCAACTAGCATTCCGTTCTAAGATAGCAGAACCCAAACAAAACTCAATCCATTCATCTTGGATGATCGAGAACGGCTGTCCTAATCACTGTGCTTTTCACAGGGTGCTTTGAAGGACAGACGGGCCTCCTGTGGGAGATTTCCTGTAACTTGCCAAAGGAAGTAGAGCCAATAGATGTTAGTGTAATTTTAACATTACAGATTTTAAATATATCTGGTTTAACTATATTACATATAATTTGTATATAATATGTAATTATATAGTTTTGGAAAATGAGTACATTAAAAAATAACTCACACTATTTTGTAAATATCCATTAAATATCACGTACTGGAATGAGACCACCCTCCTGTTACTGTGAGTGAAAACTGTAGCTTTATGCCTGGGCAACTATAATTTCTTCTTTTAAGGGAATTATAAGTATTTAGCTTTTTAAATTTTTTTTTAAACTTTATGCATGTGGGTGTGTGTGTATGTGCACATGTGTGTTCAGATGCCTACGGAGGCCAGAAGAGGGCATGAGATCCCCTGGTACTGGAGTTCCAGGTGTGTGTGAGCTTTGTGCTGTGGGTACCAGGAACTGAACCTTTACCTGGAAGAACAGCCGGGGCTATTGACCGACCCTGAGCCAGCGTCTCTCCAAACCCAGTTTTCCCCCAAACCCAAAATATCTCAGCTAGTTTTATTTGAGTGATAAATAGTTATGTGTGAAGCTGAAACTCCTTCAAAGCTGACAGTTTTGGAGTTGTTTGGAACTGATGATGGTACAGTTTTTCCAACCCTTTTCTTGACTGTGTTCTGTTGCTCCCATAGGAACCTCCATTCAGATCCAAACTGACACTGTTGAGAACATGGTCTCACAGCAGGGAATTGGGGATAAACCAGTTACTGGGGTAAACACTGTTGAGACATTCGTCAGAAAGGAAGGACCGCAAGAGTTAAAGGTGAGACCACTTGATAATTAATTTGTCTCTCGAAGTGATTAGTAAATATATTTTATAGTGAAATGAAAGTCAGATGTGACTAGTTAATATAGTAAAGGCTGACGTTTTGTCTTGATTTGTTCTTAGTATTGCCTTTTTAACCATTCCATAGACGATCTGCTGCCTGAGGGGAGGTATAGATTGAACAGTCTGAAATCTGAAATGTCCCAAAGTGCTTTTTAAACATTGGCATCGACTCAAAAATTCTCAGATTTTGAGATCTGAGATGTAGCGTAGTGGAGCCTGCAGGAGGCTCTAGGTTCAATCTCAAAGTTTCTGATTTTGGGTCATACTGGATTTGGAATGTTCAGATTAGAGATATTGACACCCAATAAAATGTCTGAAAATATTCCCAAGCCCCAAACCCTATCTAATTTGAAACAGTTCTGGCCCAGTCTTTTCAGTTAAGGGCTATTCAACCTGCAATGCAAGGATGTTTGGGCATCACATTGCGCAGATTTTCACAATTCCGCCCGTCATACCTGCAGACATTAGATGCTTTGACCACAGCAGTGCAATGAGCTAGAACTGGGGCTTCCACATCTACTCCACGGACTTTTCTGATACCTGGAAATAAAATCGAGACTTTTAAGGGTTGGCCCCACCTGGGGGTCAGAATCATTGGAGAGGCCTGGAAGGTTCTGGTCAGATGGTTGTGTAGACTGCATCCTCCAATACTAGTTCTTCTTTTCAGTTCTGTAACCTAACCACCCCCCACCCTCCATTCTTCCACGGGACTCAAAGCAATCTGTTGAGCTTTCTTCATTAGGTAGTGCTTTTTTTGTGTTAACACACACACACACACACACACACACACACACACACACACACACACAAAGAATGTCAGAATGCTGCGTCATTCAAGATGGCATGGCTGTCCTTGGAAAAGGCTTGATGGAAATGTGCTCCCTCTAGTGGGGTCTCATTCTGCAGGGCTCCTGGGTGACATATCTCACCCTGACTTTTAGAGTTTCCTCCACCTATGATCCTTCTATTCTAGAATTTTCTAAATTCACAATTGATAAAGAAAAAATCCACATCGTGAAAAAACAAAACCTGTAAATTTCAAGATGCGGGTTTTCAGGTTCGCTTCACAGCTCTGCAAAGATGGCTCCATTTGGGTCCCCTGTGTCATTCTAGCCTCATCCTTCAGTGTCAAGTGCTCAGCCTGCACCACAAAATGAACCAGAGGCACTGTTGCTTTAGGAAATGCAAGTTATTCTCTGTGTTTCTCTTAGTGCGCAGATGTAGATGCTGATGATTGGGACATATCATCCTTAGAGGAAGATAAATCTTTGGAGAAAAAGATAGAGCAGAGGGAACCTCCACCTGTGAAGAGAGATCTAAATTCCAGTCACGTGCCAAGGGCCTGGGGCCCAGTGAACCCTCGGGAATTCAAGGAAGAAGGTTCGCAGATTTCACTCTTATATATTGATGGGTTGTGTTTCTGTAGTGTGCGTGTGTGTGTGTGTGTGTTCATGTGGGTGCACATTTATGTACATGCATGTGGAGGTGTGTGTGTGTTCATGTGGGTGCACATTTATGTACATGCATGTGGA